CATGCTGGGATGCAAGCATGCAGTGAAATATTACTCAGCAACAAAGAATGAACCGTTCAATCATGTAGCAATTTGGGTGACTCTCAAAGGATTTGCATAGACTAGAAAAAGTCTCAAAAGGCTGTGTACGCTAAGATTTAAGTTATAAGACATTCTTATTTTAATGAGGTGCTTTTATTTATGGCCTGACCATCCCTTTGTTTTGTTTGTGTGTTCTTTTATTGATTAAATTCGTCAACAATTTCAGCATGTAGGGCATTCTGTTTAGTCTCACCCCTTGACCTGTCTCCTCTCATCCTGTCGTCCTTGCCACCTTCCCACAAGTCCCTTTCTCGTACCCACAATCTTTTTGTTTTGTGACCCCTGATTTTAGCCAGGGCTGTCTGTGCAGACACAGGTTGGAACTATCCATTGGCGCCCCATTGGGTACACAATTGAGGACAATACTGTTGCTCCCCCCAGAATCCACCATTAGCTAATTGTTCAGCAGGGAGGAGTCGGGCTAATTGTTCAGCAGGGAGGAGTCTGGCAGCATGCTCCCCTCCCTGACCCGTGACTGGCTATTGACAGGCCCAGTGTAGGCAACCACAGCTGTTGTGAGTCCATGTTTGCAGTGGCTGTTGTGCCTTGAAAGTAGCGTTTCACAGCCCTTCATCCCATCTTCTCGTCTTCTAGCTCTCATAGTCTCTCTTCTCCCTCTTTGACATTCTTAATTTGCCTGTTTATTTTTGTGCTTCTGGGGCTCTAACTCAGGACCCTGTGCATGCTAGGCAAGCATTCTACCACTGAGCCACATCTCTAGCCCATCCTTTTTGACCTTCTTGATGAAAGAAAATTGTGTGATGGAGAGCAATCAATGACTGCCAGGGGAGCATGTGGCTATGGGGGATTATAGGAGTTGGGAGGAGGGGAGAGGGAACTGTCTGTCTTCTAATTGTGATAGTAACACCAATCCATACATGCATCAAAAATCATAGAACTGTATACCAAAAAGTTGTTTTTATTCTAAAACTTGAAGACGTTAAAAATTGCAGTTTCATCAAATAGTTGTAATAGTTAATACTGACTGTGAACTTGACAGAATCTAAAATCATCTAAGAGACAATCCTCTGGGCATACTTGTGAGGCATTATCTAAATTAGGTTAGCCTCTGGCAAGCCTGTGAGGGTCTATCTAGATTAAGTTGATTGAGGTGGATTTGCCATTCATAGGTTGGAGTCCTGGGCTGAATAAAACGGAAAAGAGAGCTGAGAAGCAGCCTTCACCCCTCTCGGCCTCCTGACTGCTGGTGCGGTGTGACCAGCTGCCTCAAGCTCCTGCCTCCACAATGGGCTGTATTTTCAAACTCTGAGCCAAAATAAACTCGTTTTTTCCCCCTTAAGTTGTTTTCATCAGGGTATTTTATCACAGCAACAAGAAAGGTAGCTATTTTACTAGTTAAATATTCGTTGAGATTATTTGACCTCGCCCAACCTCAATTTATTTCCCTACGAAACACATGCCCTACCTTGAAGGGTACAGTACCGCTGAAATCAGGACTTCTTAGTCCTTTCTACTTGCAACCTCTGTTTTCCTCAGAAACTTTTATGACTCTAAGTACATAGTTACACAGATAAAGCACTTATTGTTAATCAATCATTCAGAAATTTGATTTTTTACATTTATTTATTTATTTAGTGTGTATGTATGTGTGTGGGTGTATGTGTGTCACAGCATGCATGTAGGTGTTAGAGAACAACTTGCAGGAGTCAGTTCTCTCCTTCCACTAAATGGGTCCTGGGATTGAACTCAGGACATTAGTCTTGGCAGCAAGGGCCAGCTGAGCCCTCTTGCTGGACCAGAAATTTATCTTAAAATAATTCTTTGGTATACAACTAATTTTACCACTTATTGAAAATGAAAGCAAATTTGCATACTCGTGATGAATGTGCTTTTTTATGCATAAAGAATTAAATCTTGCAGAATATTTGACATTGCAGAATGCAAAGCACCTTCAAAATTTTTCAGAGTTGACTGATACTTTGACTTTATAATTATCAATGCTGAGCTTGCCCCATTCACATAAATATGTAGTATAGAATGGCAGAAACATACTTAGGACTATCTCAGAAATTGTAGGAAATTCTGTCTTAATCCCAAGACAAAGTTCATTTAATGATTTCTTTGTGAGACTCAAGTCAGCAATTCAACAGGAACTTTTAATATCAAACATTCTAACACAATACAATCCAAAGACATAATAATTGGGTTCTTACACACTGAGGAATGACGGCAGGAAAATATTTAGTATTTGTTTTCCATAATGAATCCATCATGTTTCCGTAAGAGGAGAAAGCGTTGTAGAAACACCACACTTCACAACATGCAGGAGCCTCAAAGCTGAGCCGAGGTGTTCAGGCAGTGCCCACTGGTGTTGTATGGTGTGGTAGCATGGCTGGCACAAAGTGCAGGTGTTTAGACCAAGGTGGCGGTGATTCCATGCTATGCAACATGGGGGAGCAGTGCTGGAAACACTTCAGATCCATTATGTGTTTGATTTTGAAGGAATTCTTTTCCCTTGTGTGTTCAGAAATCTCTCACTGTTGACAATTTTTTCATTACCTACACATTCAATTATGTGAGCCCTTATGGGGTAGTGACCTACTGTTTAAGAAGCTGTGCTGTGATCTCCTGGAACACTAGAGGCACCACTTCTTCTTTTCCATAATGGATATTATTATTGCAAACAGGCTCCTTACTGTTGTTATTATTACAATATCTATGCATTCTAAAGAGTTACTTGGCCTTAGGGAACAGATTGGAACCACTGGGTGTTTCAAGCAGTAAAGTGATATACATAGTCTGATCTTCATTTTAAAAAGACAGTTGTGAGAGGCTTTTCAGAGAGGGTAGAGAAGAGGGGAAGCAAAGAGGCCAGAAAGAGGTGATGAGTTATGATCACAGGACAGGTGATGGACATGGGGCATTAAATGGACCCAGTAGAGAGGGAGAGAAGTGGGAGGACTTGATGATGGTCTGAAGAGTGGTGCCATTTGCTGAGAAACAAATTTAAGTATCTATTAAGGCAGGTTAAGAGTACAGACCAGTAAGCAGCTGGATGCAAGAGCCCAGAACCAGGAATCAGGCCAATGTTATTATGTCCATTTCAAGGATTTCACTTTACAACAGCTAGGGGCTCCCAGCTCTACTTTGTAAAGTAGTGTCAGAGAGCTTTGAGTAATCCTTCCTCAGATTCAGTCTTGAGGATTTTAGTTGGGTATTTCTTTCATCTTTACTGAATGGGATTACAGAAACTTCTACCAGACTGCAGATTCTGCCTGTATCAATCAATGCTGCTAGATTCTTTTCTTTGGTTAATGAGACACCAAAACTTCCAAATTACTCAGCCTAGAAATCATCAGTCATATTTATAAGATTGAAAAGCATTAATAAGATGCTAAAATAAAGAAATATCACTAGAGTAATATATGGGAAATGAAATCAGTGTGTCCAAGAAAACTCTGTATTTCTCTACACTGAAATACATCACAAAATAGCTATGGTACAGAAATCAATCTATGTGACCACCAGTGAATGAGTGGATAGTGAAAATGTGGTGTTCAAGCATTATAGAATCCTACTCAGCAACAATAACAAATGGGATCTATTGTTTGTAGCAACATGGGTAACCGGGAAGACAGTATGCTATGTGAAATAAGCCACACAGAAAAACAAATTTCAATATGTGGAATGGAAAAGGTTGATTTCCTTGGGCATGTTGGCGTATGTCTGTACTTAAGGCAGAAGGATCAAGAAGTAAAGGCCAAGGGTGGGTGAGGTGGCTTAATAAGTAAAAGTGCTTGCCACCAAGCCTGACAGCCTGAAATCAATCCCAGAATCCACATGGTAGAAGGAGAGAACCAACCAACTCTCACAAGTTGTCCTCTAACCATCACATACGTGCTATAACACACACATCCATATGCACACACATTTGCACACACAATAAATAATAAATAAATAAGAAAAAGAATTAGAGAACAGCCTGGGAACTTGTCTCAAAAAGTAATAATAAAATGTTGGTCGCATAGAAGAGTACAGTGGTTATTATTAGAGCTTGGGTGGTTGGGAGGTATCGGGATATAAATTGTAGTGGGAGGGCAGATAAGTTCAAGAACAAAATTGTGCACCACAGTGACTAAATTCATTGTATTAATGAAAAATGTTAAAGAGTGGGTATAAAATATTCTTCCTAAGAAAATGGTAACTTTGTGAGGTAATATATCTGTTAATTAGCCATTTAGTCATTCCACAATATTTACATACTTCAAAATCACATTTTACCCACAGCAAATGCATAGTTTTATCTGCCAGTGTAAAAAATAAAATAAAACTAAGCTAATGGGAATGATGATGAATATGCAAATACGTGAAATAAAATGCTAAGTACTTATTTTAACATATCTTTCTGTTCCAATTGTTCTCAAATTTCAAACATTGCCATACATAAGGAAAACTTTTTCAAAATGTATTTTTCCTTGATAGCTACCAAATTCATTTTGATAACTATCAAATAGCAGTGAACTCTGGGAAGGTGGGGGTGACAGTGGGGTTTGGGATAATTACTGAGTAAGCTGTAACTGCTGCTACCCTAAACCAAAGTTATGTAAAACAGGGTCAGCATGCTTGTCAGACCCATCTTTTTTGGAAGTCTTAGAACTAAAATGTGAAAAAAATGTTGTTCTTTGAAATACTTAAAAAAAAAAAATCTCTCAACCTGAAAATAATGTCTTTTTCTCACTCACTCACCTTATCCTATCCCTTGAAAGGGATCTCTTGGAATTTTCTCTTCAAAAATTTAATGAGTTTGCAATAAAGTGCTAATGCTCTGCTCCATTCTGGAAGTCACCTGTTACAGTGATGGATCCCTGCTTAGCAGAGTTGCTAACTTTTCTTCTAAGTCATCCCTTTTTAGCATTCTATAGTTAATGAATAAGCCATGATGACTTTTATAAACACAGGAGGATCTCAGCCAAAACTCACCATCAGGCTGTGAATTTCAACATCTTCGAGGGCATGGTTTGCCATGGAGTACCCCTGATGACTATTTCGAGAGGCAGAGTGGTATATGAAGATGGCATTTTCAACGTCATGGCAGGAGATGGAAAGTTTATTCCACGCAAACCATTCTCTGAATATGTTTACAAACGGATCAAGCAGCGAGACCAGGTGAGCCACGTCTCAGTGTCTCAGTGGGGTGTTACCACTGGCGGGGCTCACCTATCCCTATCCCGAGTGTCTGGTTTAGTGTTGCTCATGGTTCCTGGGGTGTTAAGATTGATCCAAGATACAGCTAGATAACAATTTTCAAAGAAGGAATCACTAACTGCATTCTCTTTGCAGATGTACTTTTTAAGGTTTTTCTTGATGTTTTTCTTAGGGACTTGGGTGACCTTTCCAAGCATTGTGTTGGGGTCCTCCAGAAACCAGATGTCCATATGGGTAATGATGCTAGGGGTAGGGAGTTCCTAGGAGGAAACACCTATGAAAGGGAGCTGAAAAACTTACACGAGCCAAGAATACAACTCAAGTCTGACCGCAGGAAGGAATGAAGACATAAAAGTGAGGGAAGTACACTACAGTTGAGACCAGGTTGAGCTAGGCTTGGGGGAATCTTTGAGCCAAGTCTCCAGTCTCCCAGCTCAAGGAAGCTCTGGTCATTGGCCAGGAGCTGCTATGGGAGGCATGGCCTTGCTGTAGACTGATGGATCTCAGCAGCCGAGCCTTGAAGCATCACCTTCCCTTCTGAGAATCTGCACGCTTTCCCAGGGTCACCACCTGTGGTGGAGTTTTGGGGAGGGAGGTCAGGCTAGGAATTCTCCCTTGCCTAGCTGTGTAGCCAAGAGCAAGCTCTCTATCCTCTTTGGTTGGGTTTTCTCATCTGGAAAATGGAAATGTTCCACCCTAATAAATTGTGAGACTCAAATAATAACTTTTTCAAATGTCAGAGGTCAATACATTTTGGTTCTGTCTCTTGCTTCTCCCCCCGCCCCTTTTTTTTGGACAGGGCTTCTCTAGCTCTCACTGGCCTGGAACTCACTATGTAGACCATGCTGGTCTTGATCTCACAGAGAGCTGCCTACCTCTGCCTCAGGAGGGCTGAGTTAAAGGCATGCACCACCCTGCCCTAAATTACTTTCCCATTGTGATGATCTATTTATTACAAAAGGCCCCAAGCTTCTGTAACAGCTCAGCATTCTAAGAGATACTTGTTTTCAATTTATCTTGGAATTTCACATTTCATTTGTACAGTTTTAGAGAGTTTTAAAATTTCACAAACATACACTAAAATGTTACTTTAAAATTCAGATAAAAACTCTAGATCTTTGCATTTTGAGGGCAGGAGGCAACCCTGTGCCCTCGGTGTGGGAGCTCACAGAGGGCATGATTTCTGCTCTTCTCCCAGAAGGCTTTACTCCTGTTAATTTCCATAGGGTCTGCACAACTTTTGGATTCCTTCTGAAAACTCCCTCTTTTTCCATTTTTCAAATGTATATCTCCTTCTCCAGTGTCCTCTAGCTGTTTTTAAAAAATATTTTATTTATTGTTTTTATTTTATGTGTAAGAATGTATTTCCTTCATGTATGTAAATGTACTTCCAATGCCCATGGAGGTCAGAAGAAGACGGCAGATCCCCTGGAACTGGAGTTACTGGCAGTTGCTAGCTGCCATGTGGGTGCTGGGAAATTGAACCCGGGTCCTTTGCAAGAACTGCCAATGCTCTCAACTTCTGAGCGAGCTTCCCAGCCCTGCTAGCTGTTTTTTGGATTCACTGCATTTAATTCTTGCCATCTCTTTGATTTCTAATGCCTTGTGAATTTGTTCTATTTGTAGATTCTCAGAGCCATTACACAAAATTCCTCCACTTTTCAAATCATTTCCTGAGGCTTTGCTTAGGTAAACAAGTGAGTGTTCTTGAATGCTTTAAATTCACAGAAATGCCACAATTCTATTTTTTTCTTTCTTTTTATTTTCCATACTGGGATGAAAACTTCAACCTGTGTTCCAGGCATGTACTCTACTGCTGAGCTATACCCTAGCTCTACGTTCTTTATAGACTGAATTTCAGTCAACACAGATAATGGTTACAATGGAATTCAATTTGCAGTGGGGTTAATTTATAAATGTTGATACTGATAGGTGGCAAGTGGCTAGTAACTGTAAGAATCCTAGGTGTTCCTGAAGATTTGTGTGGTAAATAAGGGCAGTACTAACACTTAATGAGTGCTCCCTGAGTGCATGTCATACAGCTAAGGACTCTGTCACTGCAACAGCCCTGTGAGGAAAAGATGTATCCTTTCCCTCATTTTAAATATTAGAAAACCGAATCTTTAGGGCTGGAAAGGTGACTCAGTAGTTAAGATCACTGGCTGCTCTTACAGAGGATCTGAGTTTGGTTCCCAGCACCCATATGGCAGCTAACAACTGCCCATAACTCCAGTTTCAGGGGACCTGACACCCTCTTCTGGCCTCCTCTGTGTATGGTACATACACATACATGCAGGCAAAGCACTCAACCACATAAAATAAAAATAAAATGAAAACCAGTGAATCTTTAAGGAGTCAAGAAGCTTGTTAAGAGGCTGCAGAGACAGCTCAGTCAAAGAACTATTGGCAACTCATTACTGCTGGGTGAGGAGGAGTTGATCTTCTTTAAGGGAGTGACTTTGGAGAGACTGATTAGACTCCAGTGGATGAACTTGCAGCAAGGGACACCTGGGTACAAATGCTTGACTGGATAGGCCTTAACATATATGACAGAATGTATGAAATCCAGTATGGGGTGGTGGTAGCTATATGGGAGGGGGGATCTAAATATTAATATTAATATTTATTGTATGAAATATACAAAAACTCAATAAAAAGTTCATTTAAAAAGAGTAAGAACAAACAGTTTTTTTAAAAAAAAAAGAGCACTTATTGCTCTTCCAGAGTGCCCAAGTTTGGTTCCCAACATCCATACCAGGTGGTTCACAACCACCTCTAACTCCAGTTTCAAGGGATCTGACACCCTTTCTAGCTTCCATGGGCACCTGCCATGCATGTGGCATGCACACACATACATAAATAAAAACAAAAATATATGTATATTTTGAGGCAGGGTCTCCCTATAGCCTCAGTGCACTGTTGTCTTAAAAATAGCAATAAATACTAATTATTATTATCACATATTATTTTGAGTCCGTACTGCCAGGCAATGCATTAGTGGCTCATCATCATTATTTTCTTTAATCCACTCAACAACATGGTAGATAGTCTCATTCTCATTTTATACCATAGAAGATAGAAAGCTGAGCCTCAGAAATATTCAGAAATATTTCCTGGACAATAAGATAAACCTGAGTCAGGGTTTGTGATAAGGTCGTTTGATTCCCACTGTGCTGTCCTTAGAAAAGAAAGAGATAATCATGAAATCCAAACCATGAGAAAATGCAATATAGTTTACATTTTTAATTAAATTTTTCCAATTTTCATACAATATAATTTTATGGTATTTAGATTCCCCATCTCCATTCTCTTACTGCCCCTGCCCAATTTAATATGCTCTATTATACATGCATGCATGCATACACACCTATGCATATATATTATATATGGCCGACAGAGTCTAATTTGTGTCCCAAATGTCCTTCAGTGTGGGTCTGTTCACTGGAGCCTGGTTAACACATCCTTGAAGGAGACTGACTCTCCCCCTCCCAGCAGCCAGCAGTTAGGATGCATTATTTTTAAGTGTTAGGGAAATGTCAGATACAAGTGGAATGCAGTGATGTTGAGGAGTGGTGTGGACATATCTCTGATCTTCTCTTAATTACAAAAAGACAATTTATAGAATAAAAATATTGCACTAAGTTTATGGTAAAGATTTATCAGGAAATCTAGGTTTTAATTTCCCATATTACTTGAGATTTCTCTTGGATTTTTTCATTTAAAATACTCATATTTCTTTGACTAGGAATGTAGTATTTGCAATGATCAAGTATTTGCACTACATGTGTAAGGTCCTGGGTTCAATACTTGGCACGCACACAAAAAAAACAAATAGATTAAATGAAAAATAAAAAATACCTTTTAAAAAGGATTTTATTTTATTTTATGTGTATGAGTGTTTTGAGTATTTGTAAGTGCACCATGTGCATGCAATGTCTGCAGAAGCCATAAGAGGGCATTGGATCCCCTGGAACTGGAGTTAAGGATGAGCGTTAGCTATGATGTGGATGCTGGAAACTATACCTGGGTCCTCTATAAGAGTATCAAGTCATCTTTCCAGCCTCTAAAATACTTAGACTTCTTAGAACTTGAAGACAAGCAGGAATGGCCCAGAATTATTTCTCCTGCTACATATCAACCTCCTTAAGAAATTTCTTCCAGTTCTTCCAAAGTACCATATTGTTTGCTAGCTCTGGGATGTGACTGATTTCCTGGTTGGAGACAAAGTCCTCAGGACAGCATTCTCTTCTTCCTGTGGGGATGCTAGGTACACAGCAGGCCTTTCACAAGGTAAATGGAAAATAAGAACAATAAAGGTGGCAGCCTCAAAAAAGCTTAAAAACAAATTTAAATAAATGTATCCAGAAAATTGCTCCTTGCCCCATCCTGGACAATGAGTCACTATGAGCTTGATTCTTGTCTATGTCTTACCATGCAGCTACTACTGTTACTGGATGTTGTGATGCTTTTCAAAAGAAAGAAAAGAAAATTAAACCCCATTTGACAGTTTGGGGGAATTGTTATTTATTTTAAAAGTTATGTAGCTAAACTTTTGGGGAAATTTTTAAATAAAGAAATGAGACATTAAAACATTAAAATTTTCATAAAAATTCATTCAAGAAAGAGCTTTAGAGGAAAGGAAGGAGAAATAAAAGGAAAAGAAAAAAATGACAGCAACTTAGATATTTCAAAAGTTTCCTGAAAGAACAAAATAGCACATGATTAATTCTTTACCAAACAATTTATAGCTCTGTAAATTTAAGTGGATTATATTCCTGGAATTTTTGTGTATTTAGAGTATTATAATTTTCACACACACACACAAAAAATGGAAACTGGGACTAAAGGGATGGTTCAGTGGTTAAGAGCACTGACTGTTCTTGCAGAAGACCCAAGTTCAAATCTCTGCACCCATATGGTGGCTAACAACCATCTGTAACTCCAGTTCCAGGGGATCTGAT